GGGCGGACCCGACGATGATAGCATTTCGGGGCGACCAAGGAGTCTGAACGAACACGACCAGCATGTCCCTGTAGCGGCAGCCAGCATACAAAAAAGCGCACAGTCCACGAGCTCAAAGTCCAAGAAGCAATCCCATGTCCGATCCCATTCCCAATGCCCCCTACACTACCATCCTCATCGCGTTCGTCATCGCGGTCCGAAGCTTCTCGCCCGTCTTCGTCGCGTCTCGCATCCGTCGCCCGATCCACGTCGGCCCAGGAACTTCTCCAACGTACCAAGAGACAGAGGAAGGCAAGCCCCCTTGGAATGCGGCCTCCATCCTCACGACGGGCGTCCCCGACGAGAGTCCGGTAGCCGTCCTCCGTCTCTTTCCCAGACCGAGCCGGACCACCGCCGCCCCAAGGTAAGACCGTGAGCGCGCTTGAAGTCTCTTGAGGCCCTTGGCAGACGACGCCGCAGCGGAGGAGCCGGGAGCCACCCGGCTCGACTCCTTATACTCACCTGCACTCACCCGCCTGCTCGTCACCAAGGCAGCGTTCGGGTCCGGCTCGACCGCCTCGGAGAAGTCCTCGACGAAGATCGACTTGATGTCGAGAGGAGCCTCGGCGCTGGCGCTCCCACTCTCGACACCGTTGCGACCTTCCTCGAAAACGTCTTCTTCGATTGTCATAGTCACGTTGTCGCGTCGGTCGTCCTCTTCCTCGCCTCGGTCGGCCTCGTCCTCGTCCTCGTCCTCGTCCTTCGCGCTCCGCTCGAGGGGAATCCTGTAAAACAAAGACACGGGCTCCGGGTAAGCGCCACCCCCTGCATCCCAATCCTCTTCCGAGAACCAGCACACAGAGGCAGACCCGGAACCAGCGCCCTGGAAGCCTGCGGAGACAGAGCGAGAAGTCTCCTCATCGCCGCTCGACGCAGCCTCCAAACGCGGGGAGAGTACAGCTACAGGCAGAAGTTCCGGAGAGCCGCCGAACCCCCCTTCCCCGTCTGCCAGAGCGCTCAATCCCCATTCACCATAGTCGTACTTGTCCGTGTCCGGGAGACCCCACTCGCCCGCGGTGGGAGTGTACTCAGCCTCCTCCCAGGATCGCACCTGGCGGTCGAGGTCGAGGAGGCGGAATTGCGAGGTCGCTGAGACTGAGTGACCGCCCTCTTCAGGTAGGCTTCCCAACTCCCCCGCGGAGGGGGAAAGGGAGACCGAGGCAAAGGGGTAGCCGCCAGAGGGAAAAGGGAGAGGTGGGTGGAACATTTTTTGCAGCGTTGCTCTCGAGAAGTGGCCTTGGTCGTCGGTTTCGTGCATGTACCGTTCAATGAAGCTAGACATATTGGCTAGAGCAGATGGACAGAACAAGTGTTACCGCGCAGCAGTATGGGACAAGTAGGAAGGTGTGTGGTGGGGGGGAGCGAGCGACTCCGAGGGTTCATGAAGGCGAACGTCGAGGATGTTCCGGTCGAGACTGGGGGCTGACCTGGTGTCGTCATAGCCCAAACACTTTGTCCCATGGCTGGCAAGGATTACGACATGTGATGTCTGATACGCTGTGAATGTAACGGCTAGCAAGGTGCTGCAGTGACCTGAATAGTTGCATCGAAGACTTGATGTAGTACCGTCGTGATTCGAATAACTAGCCACAGGAGTGTAGTGTACTGGAAATGGCCGTATAGCATGCAGATATGGGATGGCAAGTGCTTTCGTTGTGGCTTGGGTGCGGATGTCAACGCACAGTGCGAAGGTCAGAGCAACTTGAAGGTCGGAGAGCAGTGATAGCGCTCGCAGCCGCCGCCGGGAAAGGAAACACAAACGCGCGTCGCTCTGTGCCAGACTGCCAGTACTAGTGGCAGGCGTGCTCGATTCTTGTCCGACGTTGTCGCTCGCTCGTCTTCTCGCGCGCCTACAGAGCACCTGCCTACCTGGATTTAAGGGGGGCGGACAGGCAGCGGGTGCAGCCAGAGCGACAGGACCGTCCCATGCTAGGTTTGTTATGCCCAGCAAGTGGATGGAGACGTAGGGAGAGAGTTGTAGAATCGTTGACCTAGAATTATCGTACACGATGCACCGAAACGAGTGGGAAACAGAGACATACTAGTAGTACATACTACGATTCAGCTGGGGCTGCCGCTCTGAGCCTGATGGCACTGGATTCAAACCTTGTGGGACGACTCCGCGCCTCGAGTCAAGGGGCTCTTTAGCTTCTGACTTATCTAGTACTCGCGTCGCTCGCTAGTCCCAGCTCGCGAGCCTCATGCGGTGTTGAACAATGAAAAGTTGGTCAGACCGGGGATTGAACCCGGGTCATCCCATATGCGCTGGGAGGTGTTAACACTACACCATCCAACCGATACTAGAGTGTGAATTCTACAGATTCCAACATGCGGGCATGTTGCACCTGCCCCCAGGCTCTGCCAGTGCTGCAGGCGCTTGAGCTGACCTTGAATCCAGGTAAGCAGGCGCCGTGTAGGCGCGCGAGGAAATGAGCGAGCGACAAGAGTCGAGCACGCCCAT